CCATAAACCGTTTGGCACGTGAGACGTACAAGTATATGATTCAATAACCAACAATTACTATTCTTAAAAGAGTGCTCAATACAAGCTAGAGCGAATATATTTATAATTTATTCTACAATCTACATTCAACATCATCACTTGATAAGACACTAGAGGTGTTAAAACAAAATGGCTATTTTTGTAGTGATTTTATAACATGTTTATGTTAAAATTTTTAAATAAAAATTATATATATATATATATATATATATATATATATATATATAATTTTATTTCAATACTTCATGAGATTCTGATCCTTAGCTATGACTAATTAATGATGAACATGTCATTTTCTTTTATGATCGAATTCATCACGATTCTTCTGTTAAACTTAGAAAGTAATTATACATTCCTATTGCTCAAAGTAGAATCCAATAGCATTATAAAAACCGCGGTGAATTCCAGTAAGATATTTTTAATCATTTCTAAGATACAACGGTTCAAAGCTTAATATAACAATTACACGATTTGGGCAAAGCATGATTTATCATGTGAAAAGGATTTCAACATTGGGCGCATTGTTTTACAATTCTCTAATGGTCATTTTCTAAGGGTAGATTAGATGTCTTAAGCACAAGACTGTAAATATGGTGGGGGGGCACACTGAGAATTGAACTCACTGTTTAGTCGAAACTGATCTAGCGAGACAAGCTTGATAAACACTGTCACATCACATCGAGTGACCATTACAATTCGATTATGAACTCAACATTATAAATATAATCCCTTTCTTCGATATTCTATTAGATGTTAATAATGATTTTTCTTACTGTCATATATAAACACACACACACACCTGTACGTATATATATATATATATATATATATATATATATATATATATATATATATAACCATTAAACTAATTGAGCTCCTTCCAGGTTTTCAGATAAGCCGTTTAGCCATTTTCACACCATTTGTCGTATGAATTATTGAAAAACCCTTTGAGTCATTCAGCTAGAAAGAGAAGAGGTTAAAATCGTTTCGTGTCAATCCTACTCTCTTTCAAACTGAGCGAAAAAGATCATTGAGGCCTTCAGTAATGACATCAACATTCATACTCTGGCTTTCATCTTCGAACTCTATTCAAGAACCATTAAGAGAACGGCAAATAAGTTTAAAATAGAGGGTCAGTAGAAAGATAAATTGGATCAGCAGGTCACAACAACAAGAGGGATCAGCATTTCAGCTTAAAGCTAAATACATTGTTATTGTTCAAAGTAGTGTTCAATAGTTACAAAACCCTCGGAGAATTCCAGTAAAATACATTAAATCATTTCTAAGATACATCGGTTCAAAGCTTAGTCTAACAATTGGACAATTTTGGTGTTAAATAAGTATATATATATATATATATATATATATATATATATATATATATATATATATATATAATATATATATGTGTGTGTGTGTGTGTGTGTAGATGTGTTGAAAATAGGAAAGAACTCGTTAGGTAAATAATCCTGAGTTCTTGAGTATTTTTTTTTTTTTAAAAAACAAAAAATAGTGCTCCATACAGAAGTAGAGCTTAAATTTTCGCTTGAGGATGAAACAGGGCTTGATACTTTACCTCAATTTAATTTTAATTATTATATTGAGGTTTTCAGCTCTCGTTATTTAAACATGACTACTCTTTTGCAGCAAAGGAATCATATTTTAAAAAAATAATTATAATATATATATATATATATATATATATATATATATATATATATATATATATATATCAATCCATCTATGCTCTAATCTAATTATATCAGCAATATAAATTCAAAAGGAAGGCTCCATTAAAAGAAGGTGGAAATATGGACAGAAAGAAAAGCAGATAAAAATAGGAGTTTCTGGTAAAAAACAACGAACGAGCAGAATTAAATGAACCCTCTCGACAAACGTGTTTTTTTACAGTATTTAAATTCATTAATATTACACCTGAATTCCATCAGTCAAAATTGTGGCAGTGAATATATATATATATAAGACAACCGACAGAAAACAAAAACTCCAAAAAAATAAAAGAAAAAGAACAAAAACAAAACATGGAATGTAAATTAGAAACAAAATAACCTAAATTATAACCTTTCAAGATTTTCCTTGCAAAGAACATCTTGTTATTTCAGACCAGTGCGAGGCGGGAAGGCACACAAGCACATACATACAAACAAACATACACATGCACATACACACAAATACATCAATGTAATTTTGCGTATTATGCTAAATGTTATGTGTCATAATAATATATATATATATATATATATATATATATATATATATATACATGAATTATTCACACAAAACTAATGCAAAGGTTAATGGTTTAAATGGCGAGACATCCATCATCGCAAACAATTCAAATAGTACACACAAACCTCCAGATCCGTTATGAATGAATTGATCCTTGTTTATATAAATTTCTGCCGTATTAGTTGTTATTTTACTACAAGCTTTCGTCTGT